CTCCCGTCGCCGTCTGGAGCACAACATCATGAGCAGTATCACCGGCAGCAGGCACAACTGCGAACAAGGCCAACCAAAGCCTCAGCTGGGTGGGGGTGCACAGCCCACCACAACAACGAAACCACAGGGGGGGCGGGGAAGGGCACCACCACAGGCCCCACCCCACAGGGGGCGGGGAGGATACCATGGGGTGGGGGGGGGAGGGGGGGTGTGGCAGCCCTGCATCATACATGCCAATGCCAATCGGGAATACCCTCGATGGCGTTAAGAAGAGTGGGTGCGGGGCATCTAACCATAGCACCCCACCTCGTACACCGACGTCGAAACAGCCGAATCGAAACTCCCGGTGAAGATAAACAAGAGGGATACTCCGCCCTTCCAATTCTGCTTCGCCTACGCACCGCAAGAGAGTCGCTCGTAATGCATATATTGTCCGTGTATGGTTCAGAGGTCGAGGCTTTAGCCATGTAGAACTTCCTCAGGCCATCGTCTGGGCCAGTCAATGCCTTACCGTGTTAAAATTCCAAATTACTGGCAGGAGCCCTGAGGCTCACTTAAAGAACCCTGAAAGGCGCGACAGCCCCTGAAACTTAAAAGCCATTTCGTCGAAGACTTTTGTGGAAATTAACGGATCCCTTCTAAGAGTCTAGTTCTCTTGCTCTACTGGTAAGAGAACCCTGAAATTAGCACCATAGCAGCCCCAGCTGCCCTAAACCTTACACTCTAAGCCCCTAAAACCCTGAAGTCGAGAACCCTAAAACCCTAAACCCTAAAACCCTAAACCCTAAACCCCTAAAACCCTAAGCCCTTAACCCGCAGTCTGGGGGAGAGGTGCCTCAAGGCACCGAAGAGACGAGGGGAAGCCACGAGCCTCGGACAAAGAGGCGTGGGGCCGGGGCCGTTTCGGTTCAGGGCAGAGGGGTTTAGGGGCTTAGGGTTTAGAGCTTAGGATCTCCGGCTTAGGGGTTTAGGGTTTAGGGGTTTAGGGGTTTAGGGGTTTAGGGGTTTAAGGTTTGGAGGTTAGGGCCTAAACCCTAAACCCTAAACCCTGGAGCTTCGGATTTCCGGGGCTTAGGGGCTTTGGGGGTTTAGGGGTTTAGGAGCTTAGGTAGGATTCCGGTTGTTTAGGAGTTTAGGGGTTTTGGTGTTTGGGGGCTTGGGGTTTGGAGCTTAGGTTTTCCGGTTTTTTGGGGGGTTTAGGGTTTAGGCTTTGGGGTTTTAGGTTTTGGGGCTTTAGGGTTTACTGTTGGGCTTTGGTAACTATCCGGTTCAGGGTTTATATTGCATCCCCAGAAAGTTGGAACATGGATTTCGGCCTAATCCTCACCTCGCGGGCACGAGGACAATTGTGTTCACGGCTTAAGACTTTGGGTTTCAGGGTTTAGGAAGCTTGGGGTTTACGGCTTAGGGAGTTTAAGGCTTGCTGATTAGGGTTCAGGGTCTAGGCTTTGAGGCTTTAATGTTCAAGATTTAGGGTTTGGGATTTGGGCTTGTTTAGGGCTTAGGGCTTTAGTATCAGCTTGGGCTCAAGGATTCCGGGGTTGGCTTTGAGGTGCTTGCGGAGATTAGACCAACGAGGAAGATAAGAACAATGGCAACACTGCTCGAAATGCATTACGATACGAGTAAGAAAAAACCTTTCGAACAATCAAAGAGCGAAGCAAATGTAAACCTGAACACCAAGGTAGAGCTGAAGCAGTAAAACTCGGGCTGAGGGCTTCAAGATCTAGGAGTTTACGGGTTTAGGGGTTTCGGACCTAAGGCGAATCAGTCAGAGATGTAGAGCTGAAGCTGTCATTGACTGGAGGAAATTCCATGTCGACCCGGGAAGATGCGCCAGCTTGCCAGGCTTTCGACTCTGGGTGTCAAGGTTTCTGGCTCAAAGGATGTAAGGCTCACAGTCTTTCGCTTTTGACCCCTTACACCCTAGTTTGGTTGAGGGACATTGGCTTATGCCAAAGCGTTGGAGCATCCATGCTAGTCGAACCGACTCGCTCTGACATGTACTCGTGCCATTTCGCTGACCGTCCCGGACGTATCTACTACGGATGGCTGGCGCTTGCATTGCCGGCACCGATACGTATGCTATAACTGCCTGGACTGCCATCCCACCCTAAAGCCTCAAGCCCAGATGAAATTGCGAACCCAGGGTCCGTGCTAGGAGGCACTGCACCCTCTTCACCCTCTTCACCCTCAACCCTGAACCCCAAACCCTTTAAACCCTAAACTCTAAAAACCCTGAACCCTGAACCCTGAACTCTAAAACCCTGAACCCTAAACTCTAAAGCTCTAAAACCCGAAACCTTTAGAGCCTTAAGGGCGGCGCCTGGCGTAGGTTCCGCGCCTTCTCCAAGCAGCGATCCTTGGGCCCCACATCGCTCAGCGCAGACGCCGGGGGAGCGAGCAGCAGCAGCGCCGTCCGCCAGGGAAGCATCATGGCTCCAGGGGTTTAGCGTCTAGGGGTTGTCGGGCTTAGGGTTTAGTATAGGGTTGTAGGGGTTTTAGGGTTTGGGGAATCATTGTTGAGAGGTTTTTAGGGTTTTGGGGCTCAGGGCCTCTCTAGAAGCTACGCGCCGCTAGTTCTCGAATTTCCGGAGGGTTTCCCAGAGGATACTTTCCCGAGTGCTCATTCCCAAAACAGAGGCCCGAACATGGACAGAGCACAATCAAGCGTGCTGCTGGGGGAGACAGAGAGTGCCAAGATGTCTGAAGTTAAGGCAGCTTCACAAAGCCGTGGGGCATAGAGTTTTGCATTCAGGGGTTCATGATTTTGGGCGCCGTCGTTTAATTTAAGGGTTTCGGCGTCTAGGGGCAAGATTCAAGGCTGCCCTAAACCGTTAAATCCTGCATGCAAAGGCATTGTCAAACGGCGACGCTGGTGTTCAAGCTTTACGGCTGTAGCCAGTCGTCAACAGCCACGGCTTGTAGAGGTACTGGAATGAAAAGTACAAGGGCAACCCAAGTAAAATCGCTCCAACATAGGAGTTCTGAGCAAGCGTGTAGGAAATCATCGTTCTGGCAAGGCTGGCCAGACGACCATGAAAACACTGTGTCTTAGAAGGCTTCTCCATACATCGCAACTGTCTGTGCCGGAAAAGATCCAGAAATCTGCCCCGAAGCACTATGAGCCATCCTCACCATGAAACTTTCAGTACAGTTCCTGCCGTCTCGAACGGGCCGCAAAACCCTGGAATCCGGTTGGCAGTACGAAGCTCCTTGTTACTGTTAGGCACGAGGCACTGAACTCTCCTGGGCGGTGCACTTTGCACCCCGGCAGCCGTCAACCCAAGGAATCTCCATCACTTCTGCAGCTCCTTCTCCCCGACTCCGACGATTTCGTTGGGTATTCAGCCTCTTGTGTTTTTGGATCGAGATCCTTCAGGCCAGCTTCCAACGAAGCTTGTGGCAAGCAAGGCAGGGTGTGAGCAACCTCGTCAAAACCCAGGTAATGTTCATCGACACTGAGGGGTTTCACCCGCTGAAAATCACATTTTGAGTGCGTCTCTCTCAACCAATTTGGGTTTCGATTGCAGACAGTAGCCCCAGCCCAAAAAATGTAACAAACCCGAAGAATACGCAAGAGCCACATAGATCAAGTCGGCTGTGTGAGCTGTCTGTTCGATCAATCTTCACAGCAAAGTACGTACATGCCAGGGAAAACTGTTGCCAAAAGGATCATAATCAAGGAGACTTTTACGTAGGACTTAAGTGCAGTTCGAATGGAAGACGGTCTATGCGGGGATGCCCTAATTGAAACCCCACTGGCCGAGCTCTTAAGTCCCCCATCGGGGTTTAGGTGTGGTTCCAGTATGACGGCGTTCTTGGCTAAAGGCCCCAAATGGGCTGTAGACTCAACTCGCGCATACTTCGTACTAATGTGGCTCGGGTAAAGCCGAATCACCTGCTTCCGCGCTGCGTCCTTTCAGCTCTGCAGCGCTGCCCTCGTTGCAGTAACCTCCCTGCGAGCTTGTCTTCACAGTTGTATAAACTTGACGTCTGTGCTGCAGACACGAATTCTAACAGTGTTTATCATTGCTATTGCTATTGCTATTGCTTACACATTCTCAGCTCGCGGTGAAGGGTTACCTGGAACACCGAACTGACGTGCGAGACCGTCTGCTGTGCAGGGCGAGAGGCGGAGTGGTCAAGCGACGCTCAGTGCCGAATGCAACCAGGCAGAGCCCATTCACTCCAAAACCCGACGAAACCCTGTGCCCTGCACCTGAAACCCTATGGTTCCCACACGGCCCCTGCAAGGCTTGCAGTCTTGGTGCATCATCAGGATTGTGTATGTCTTTTCCGTACCTTGTATTGAGCCTCTAACTCCCAAGACTGCGCGACACAACGACATCCATAATTAGGAGTTGGCATGACTCACCCCCAGCATTCAGGACTCGAAGGCCCCTAAACTCCTGAACGGTACCGTTGTGCATGCCAACTCCTGGATGGATCTCCTGGGTGTTGCTCCCAGCATTCAGCTAAGACAGCACGTCTGGCTGCGAGTCTTCTTCTCATCCTTGTCCCGAGCCTTGCCTTGGCACGGCTGTACTTGCGACAAGGTGCGGGGCCTGCAGGTAAGACGTACCTGCATAGTGTTTAGTTTGTGCTTGAAGACTCTTCTCCTTCCTGCTTATAGGGTTTAAGGATCCTTGCAAGGACAACGAACTTCGCATGGCGAGGCTCCTCTTCTTCTCCAGCAACTTCTTTGCGATCTCCCGAGCAATCTCCATCTCATCCAAGTTGCGGCAATCCTGGGTTGCGCAAGAGTCTGTAACAAGGCCTGTTCTTGCCATGCGCCGTTTCGTGTCCTTCGAACGAGCTAGGAGGAATGAAAATTCTTGACAAGTTCAAGATCCAAGTGTCTACGTAGACGAGGTTTGGTCTGAAGACCATTCCGATCAAGGCCGCTGCTTTGTTCTCTTTGTCGTACGGGTGATTTGGACCGCCAGGGGGTTTCGGGGGGTAGACGTCTGCCACTTTCAGCGGGAGAACATCCAGTCTGTTGTCTAGGGCAACCCGTAACTCTTCAAAAGAGCAGTACGGTGAGCTGGTCTTCTCCCCAAGATGAGCTGTGCAAACACAAATCAAGACACCTTTTTCATTCTCAATCTGGTTCAAATACGTAAGTGTTAGTTTGCCGAAGCTTTTACCAGCACCGGCGTCGACCATCAAGACAGGAAAGTTGTGCGCCTTGCAGATCGGGCATCACTCATGACGCAAACACTTTGCAGTGGAAACTTCGTGCCAGATCAAGCAACCAACATGATCCTGTCATGTCCAAGACGGTGCCTGAAGGATCTTGTGAACACGCCGAAACTTGTGCTCGATGTCCCCGTCATCGAACCTTGCACAAAACATTCCCGGCACAGCATCTTTGCCGTCCGGGAAAGCTTCCTGCCAGCGTCAGGAGGAAGTCTGTCACGACCATGAACACTTAGAAGCCCCATTTTTTAGAGTGTAACACCACTCACTGATTCGTCAAAAAAGCTGCTTGTGCACACGTGCTGTTGTAGAGCATATGAAAGATGGGTCTGCAACTCAGGAGAATGCTCGCACCATCTATATGAATCTATATATATATATGTAACAATATGTCAAGGGTAGTGTTGTCTACACGCAGGACGCTCCATGGTTCTCCATGGGTTTCCGGGGGCAATTGAGCAAAACTGACAATTCAAGTTGACGCAAACATCAAGATGTCCATTCAATATCCACCCGCCGAGTGATTCGGGTCCTGGCACGCTACTTTTGTATGGATACCGCACGGTCGTATTGGACTTGAGGGTCTAGATGGGTCTAGCTGTTTGTAAGCGCATGGGCTCATGGAAGTAAGACTTCATCGATTTTGGCCAGCGGCTTGTACAGGGTTGTACATAGTTCACAAGCTCTGCGTGGGGTTCTTTATGGCTTTCGCGACTTTCGTGTGGCTTCAGGATAGTTCAAGGGTCGCAAGCCCATGGTGCTTTCTGAAGCAAGTATTCCAGATGTCCGGTCCCGATGCGAGCTCGCGATCCGCACACCACCAAACCCATTACCCCAAACCCCGGGTCAGGCCGTGCACTCATTATCCAGCAAGAGTTGCGACTGGGGCATATGGTGTTGCAGGGTCTTGCTCATGATTCGAGATCCTGGGACCAGGGGACTTGGCAAACAGGCTCTCAGCAGACATACGGTCACCACAATTCGAAACCCGCACCTGTGACATGTAACTCCTCTCGCGACCCCTATCCGCCGACCCCCCGGGGCGGCGCCCAGAAGTTGTGTTGATTCATCGCCCGCTACTTTGTCCGCTGGCCCTGTGCGGCTGCCACACCGCTCTTCCTGTTCTCCCGACCCCGTCGCGCCCACCCAAACTGGACTGTGTTTGTAAGAGTCCCCAGCGCCCATAGTGCCCCCAGCTCGCTGGCCTATCCCTGCACATACCCGCCCACCTCAGCGTTCACTTCGCTCCCCAGGCTTCGGCGGCTACTAGGAAGCACCCATTGAATGCACGGAATTTTCTGTTGTGCCCTGGCACGTGCGGCAGTTCTTCTCAAACTCGCACTACGAGAGGTCTTGCTTGACGAGACAGCGGAAGTGATGGCATGGTTCGCCAAGGTTAAAGAGGCACGCGGCAGCAACAACAAGCTGGCCGCGACGCTTTCCTGAATGCATACTTCCACAAATATGCATTCAGGAAAGCTTCACGGCCGGTTTGTTGTTGCTGCCGCGTGCCTCTTAACTTTGGCGAACCACGCCATCACTTCCGCTTTCATGGCCCCGGTTTATTCCTGCATCCATGTCCGCCGATTCGGTTGCAGGGCACAGTAAGGGCCTTCCGGCTTCGGCATTTCGTAAAAGGTATAGAAGCAGTTTAACCCCTCAGCGCCCCCAGCGCCCTCGGCCTAAGGCAGGCCCAACCACCCGGGCCCCTCAGGATCCGGCATTTAGTAGAGCATTAGTGGGGTATAGGGTATATAGGCTTGCAAGCTTTGCTTTCGGCTTTAGCAAAAGGCGCTACCGGCAGTGCCGCCGAGTCTGCTTCATGGGACGCTCGTTTTTCCACCGGGCCGCGCAGGACCTCGCACGGAACACGCACGCGTTTCGCAGCCATTCCCCAGACTATGGCGGTTTCGGGGCCCCCGAGGCCAGCCGGCGAGCATCATGAGCACTCGTTGCGCCCGCAACCGCCCCTGCAGCGCGAGGCAATGTTTTGCCAAGTTTTGAGTGGGTTGCGGAAGCCCGCAAAGGGCACGCATCATCAGCATCAGCGGGGTTCGGCGCAGGGGCGGGGCGTGGCCTTGCTCCAGGCTTCTACCTGCACTGCCCGCCCCTGGGCGCAGCCCCTAGAACAGAGAGAGGGAGAGACAGAGACAGAGACAGAGGCAGAGACAGAGACAGACAGAGACGGACAAAGAGAGAGAGAGAGAGAGAGAGAGACAGAGAGACAGAGCGACAGAGCGAGAGAAGTGGATCCGTGGGGCGAAGAGTACATGGGCCCACCACCTCATCTGTCGAGAAGAAGGGGTTGAAAAGCAAGCTCGTCGGCTTTGACATGGTGTTGCCACTGGTATCCCAGACCTGGGCTGCCATGGCGGCTTTCTGACCAGACATCACAACAAGCACAGACAGCGCAGACGTAGAATCTAAGTGCAGCCCTGTTAATAACTTACCACGACGGTTCCCGTTGTTGACCGGGTGCCTCTTAGCGAACCTGTACCAAAAAAAGGCTCTCGTTCGCTGCTGACTGCAACCCAAAGGCTGTCGAGGTCTCGTGCCTTGGCGGCTGAGTAATATGGTCCGGCTGAGCACTCTTCACCAAAGCGTGGTCATCGCCAACTGTTTGGGATGCACCTGCGACCGCACTGGCACCCGCTGGGGCACCATGATCCTCTGCATGCCTCTCCACCACGGTCTGCAAGGCTTCTTCATGCACTTTGGCCGCAGCCTTTTGGATACTCTGGACAGACTCCTTCTCTGCAACCGCTTCATCAGAGGACTCAGAGAACGTCACCATGCCTAAGAATTCTAGCCATCCTCCCTGCACCCTTTCGTTGACCACGATGGCCAAGAGCTGAGCTCTCGTTAAGCCTCTATAGAGCCGTGAGCGCGTCTGTATGTCTTCCACGTGGCGCTGAATAGGAGCATCCAGCCCAACACAAACAACCACAAGCTGCTCCAAGCCATCTGCATTCTCAACGGTATCGAGAACGATATTCTCCTGCTTTGCCTGCACTGAAGCCGAAGCGAACTCCGCACCTCAAAACCTAGGCCACTCTCCACCTCTAAAGCTTCATCCCCACATCCTGACCAATTAGCAACCGCAAACCCCGAAGCCTGAACCTGAACCCCAAAGTCACTTGGCAACTACTCCTGAAGCCTGAAAAATCCAAACTCCAAAAGCCTAAACCCCAAAAACAAGTCACTGAACTACTCATACATCATAAAGCTTCGACTCCTCATGCTCTTCAAGCCGTCCCAACCCTAAACCCTAAACCCCACCTGCTTGCTGCGGCCGAGCAGACGCTCCGGCAAGCAGCTGAGGGACTCTTCGAAGCTCACAAGGCGCAGGGAGCGATGAGGGAACTCCCGGCTCCTGGGAGCGGTAGGGGTCATTTAGGGTCTTAAGGGTTTAGGGTTGAGGGGTTTAGGGTGTATGGTTTAGGATATTTTTTCAGTGCAAAGGACTTTCGCTTGCCGAGGAGGATCTTTCGGGCTTCTGGTTTTTAGGGCTCAGTGTCTGTATTGCTTGGGGCTGTTTAGGGTTTAGGGTTGTGTAGAGTTCACGGTTTCGGTTTAGGGTTTGGGGTTTAGGGTATCGGAAAGGGTGCGATCGAAGCGCCTTGAATTTGGAATTCGGTTCAGCGGTTCGGGCCGGGTAGGGTTTTGTTTAAGGCTGAACGAGGTCGCAGTGCGTATGCAGGGAGTGCCAGGCTGCCGCATGTCATCACAAAACCAATGCATTGCACCCAGTCTAGTTTCGCAGTTTAGGGACAATGCCAGTGGTGTCTGTTGCAAAAAACAGGCCCTGAATGAACCCATGACACTTCAACAACCTTTCACCCACTCGCTCAGGAATTTTAGGCGATGCTTCCTTAACGCAGTCCAGTTGCAAATGCTTCTGCAAGATCTGCTTGATTTTCTTGCAGATATGGGAGTCTGGAACGAGCAAGGCGACACGCCCATGCAAGCTGATATCAGGGAATGTCCTGGAGAGCAGAGCCCAAGAAGGTTTAGGCTTTAGAGTGTAGGGTTCAGGGTTCAGGGTGTAGCGTTCAGGGTTTAGTATAGAGTTTAGGGTTTAGGGTTCAGGGTTTAGGGTTATAGCAGGGTTCAGGATTGGAAAGCCGAGGGTCCTTGCCACATGCCAGAGTGCTTTGATGATATGCTCTGCGTATGCCTGCGGCAAATCCTTTCCGACCTCGCTGGCCGCATCGAAACGCTGGAACCCTGCACCACACGTATCATGACTGCGCTTCTACTTGAAGCAATACGACAATACTACTATAAAGCAGTACCGCAATACTCCTAGAATACTGCCAACAATACTATATTGCTACGAAATACGAGAATATTGCGAGACGAATACTGTAATGCTATGATATTACTACAATGACACTATGTTGACCCAAGCACCGAGCAGCCGAGCTGCTTCGTCGAACAGAAAGGTCTTCAGGGGTGGTCCGTCGGAGCCCAAAGAGCTCAC